TCAACAGACTGGTGAAACAATATCTGTGTATCTGAAGGAATTACGAAAATTGGCAGAACCCTGTGGTTTCGGAACTAGCCTTGACATAATGCTACGTGACCGACTCGTTTGTGGTATTACCGACGAATCGCTACAGCAAAAGTTGCTAGCCACAGATAAGTTAAAACTTAAGGACGCGCAAGACCTGTGCCTTGCACACGAGGTGGCCGTGGAAAGTTTGGCAGTTCTACGAGAAACTGAGTCGAGCGCAGATGTAAACGCGGTAAGTTTTCGTAAAAATCAACCGGGCCAGTTCAAACAATTAGCTAATCGCGAAAGGAAGAAATGTTTTCGGTGCGAAAAAGAACATTCTCCCGAAACTTGTGAACACATTAAATCAACCTGTGCATATTGCAGGAAAGTTGGACACATCGAAATAGCTTGTTTTGCAAAAAAGAAGAACCAAAATTACAAACGCAAAGTACATCAGACTACCGTGGAATCTACGTCCAATACCGAGCCGGTTTCGGGGAACACCCAGAGTGTTTTTTATCAAAGTAGTGACTATGAATTTACGTTAAATAACGTGACGTCTGATAGCATTACCGGTAAATATTTAGTAGATGTGCTACTCAATGACCAAAAGGTAAGAATGGAGGTTGACTCGGGCGCAAGTTATTCAGTGATAAGCAAATCAACCTACCATGAAATCTTTAGTGAAAATCGACCTAAAATAGATAAATCCAGTGTTATTTTAAGGGACTATCAAAACACAGTGATACCCACACTGGGTAAGTGTCAAGTGGAGGTGAAGAGAGGTCCAAGATCAGCGACACTTCCTCTCATAGTCACGGAAGGAAATCGTGCCAGTCTACTCGGCAGAAACTGGTTTGATAGTTTAGGTTTAACCATAGCTGGGGTAAGTCAAATTTTATCAATGATAAATTATACAGAAGAATACCCAGATGTATTTAATACAGATTTGGGGTCTTACCGGGGTCCCCCAGTAAGTTTTTCGTTGGACAAAAATGTAAAGCCGGTTATGTGTAAAGCTCGTAAAGTTCCATTTGCGCTAAAAGATAAAATCGAAGTTGAACTGGACAGGCTTATTGCGAAAGGGGTTTTAGAGCCGATTACGCACCCAAAATGGTGCACCCCAATTGTGACTGTTTGCAAAGAAAACGGTGAGGTTAGGATTTGTGGTGACTACAAATCCACATTGAATTTAGCGTTAAATCCGGAACCTTATTCAGTGCCATCGGTACAGGGTATCTTATCCACACTTGCGGGCGGTAAAGTTTTTGCAAAACTGGACATGGCGCAAGCTTATCTGCAGTTAAGTGTCAACCGCGAAGCTGCTGAAGCACAAACAATAATTACGCATAAAGGAGCTTTTAAATGCAATCGTTTACAGTTCGGTATATCAGTGGCTCCACAAATTTTTCAAAAATTCATAGACACTCGATTAACGGGTATTCCTGGTGTACTACCTTATTACGATGACATTTTAATAGTTGGTCGCTCAGAAATCGACTTGGATTCAAAAGTGCGCGAGGTATTATCGCGTTTCCAGGAGGACGGACTGCATTTGCGCAAAGAAAAGTGCGTTTTTCGAACAAAAACTATAGAGTTTCTCGGTTTTCAAATTAGTGAAGACGGTTTACGCCCCACTAAAGACAAAATCGCGGCCCTAACTAATGCGCCTGCGCCAACCAATAAAACCGAGTTGCAAGCTTTTCTTGGACTTTTAAATTTTTATCATGTTTTTCTAAAGGACAAAGCAACAATTGCGAATCCGTTACATGCACTGCTCCGAAAAGACGTTCCCTGGCAGTGGCGTTTTATAGAACAAAAAGCTTTCGATTTACTAAAAGAAATTTTAGCGAAAGAACCTGTGTTAGGGCATTACAATGAACAAAAAGATTTATTTTTGACGTGTGATGCCAGTCCTTACGGGGTAGGTTGTGTGCTTAGTCAACGTGATGATGAAGGACGTGAATATCCAGTGGCGTACCATAGTCGTACTCTATCATCTACTGAACGAAATTTCTCCCAAATCGACAAGGAAGCACTGGCCATAATATCGGGCATTAAAAAATTCCACGAATATGTATATGGCAGGAAAATAGGCATAAGAACGGACCATAAACCATTGTTGGGTATTTTTAATCCGAAAAAGGGTGTTCCAGAGATACTGTCACCCAGAATGCTTAGATGGGCTCTTATGTTATCTGCTTATGATTATGAATTATGTTACGTACCAGGTTCAAAAATTCAGAATGCAGATGCTCTTAGCAGATTGCCACAAAAGGTACATGCGCCAGAACCACCAAGCTCAGATGACGTTTTGATGCTTGAGAACATCCCAGAAAAACTAATCTGTGCCAAAGACATTGCCAATGAGACTAAGAAAGACCCAGTGTTATCTAAAGTTTTGCAGTGGACTTGGAAAGGTTGGCCTGATGAGAAAATTAAATTTTCAGACGAATATACTCCTTATCTACTACGTAAAAACGAAATTAGCTGTTATCAAGACTGCCTGTTATGGGGTACAAGGGTAATAGTTCCACTAGGAGGGAGGAAAACAATACTGAATTTGCTACACTCAGCACACCCCGGAATCGTAAAAATGAAGTCACTGGCACGCTCATATGTTTGGTGGCCAAATCTCGACAAACAAATCGAACAGCTAGTAAATACATGCAGCGAGTGCCAGGAGTCTAGAAACATGCCAAAAAAGGCTCCAATCCATCCGTGGGAGTGGGCCAGAGCTCCATGGACAAGAATACACCTCGATTTTGCCGGTCCATTTAAAGGCAAAATGTTTCTGATTATCATAGACTCGTACTCGAAGTGGCTGGAGGTTAAAATCGTTCCAAATACCTCTAGTGTTGTGACTATAGATGTATTACGGGGTTTATTTGCCACTCACGGCATCCCAGATGTCGTCGTATCTGATAACGGAACTTGTTTTACGTCAGCTGAGTTTCAAGATTTTTTAAAGAAAAACCTTATTAGACAAGCATTGGTTGCACCATACCATCCAAGTAGTAATGGGCAAGCGGAACGCATGGTACAAAATGTAAAAAATGCACTTAAAAAAATGACAGATAGTAATGAAGAAACTAAAATACAGTTAGCATTGCACAGATATCTCCTTACTCAGCACATTACACCCCATTGCACAACAGGGAGATGCCCATCAGAAATATTAATGGGGAGAAAATTGGGCTCATTATTTGATCGTTTACAGCCCGACTTTAGAAAAGAGATGTTATCTAAGCAAGAGATGAACGATTCTTACAAAACAGTACCCAGATGTTTTCAAGAAAACGACACTGTATTTGCAAGGTCATTTGCTCCAGGTGGTCAAAAGTGGCTTCCTTCCAAAATAATTGAAACCACTGGACCGTTAAGCTACAAAGTTCAAACCCCAGATGGTAAAATTTTACGTCGTCATTCTGACCAAATCAGAACCCGTGTGTGTGACCAAGAAACAACAGACGAAGTTACACCGTCAACCTCGATGGAAAAAAAATTACTCGTAACTCCGCAACCGTTGTTTCTGCATCCCAACGAATTTGTGGACCAAGAACCTGAAATTGTAGAGCACGCCGCTGAAGTTAAAAAGCCACCTGCTCGAATAAGAAAACCTCCAAGGTATTTGGAGGACTATGATGAGTAGATTCATCCAGGAGGGAGGAGTGTGATGTATTGGCAACCCTGCAGTGCGGTTACGTCACAATCAGCTGTGAAAACACTCAGGAATACAGACGCGACGATGACCTATTTAATGTATATTGTTATTTGTATTACGTTTTGGAGTGATCATTAAAGTCGGTAGTATTTCCTATACTGTGTTTATTGTTTACAACCGGTCCGATACATATTAGACATGTTAGGCAGAAAACTTGTAGGAACAGAAAAATAGCAGGAACCCGTGCCAGAGCACGGGTTCCTGCTATTCAAAACAGAGAGGAAGTCACAATTGCTTTGATTGAGGAATGGGACAGACTGCCCAACAACTGATCGATAGCGGTATCAGAAGTATGAGAAGACGAATAACTGCAGTTGTAAGGGCTCGTAGGGGAAACACACGCTATTAAAGCCAAAAAAATGCATAAAAAACCAATTTAAGTTCAAACTGTACAATAAAGTTATTGCATTTAATAAAATCCGTATTTTGTTGAGTCTGACATCTTTGTGTTTTATTTCTTCTTAAACAGGTTTTATATTGTACTACCATTGTAATATAAATTCAAAATACTTTACCAACATTCGTATTTTGATATTATCTAAACAGTATATAGACTAGAGAGAAAATACTCAGATTTTATGGTTGTTCCTTTAAATATGCTGGTGAAACTAAGAAGAAAATGAGCATTTATTGATGAAAAACATGGCTAGTTGTTAACGTACCTAACTTTTTTATTATCCAACACAAGCAAATGAATCAAAAATGAAAATGTTAAGAAAGCCCGAGACCATAATTGAGCTTTAATTTCAATATTTTATATATGCTAGAATATTCCACAGGGTGTTTCGAACTTTAAGGAAAAAACACAGTATGATTGTTACACCCGGTATAAGATGACATTGACCTGTCTAGCAACAATATTATTTCATTGATATTCTTAAATAATATACCTATAACATACTAAAAAAATCACTAAAATCGGACAACAGGTTTAGGAAATTCGAGTCATCTAACATGTCCCGTTTTTAAGGTGTTCCGTTAATTTTGCCAGTGAGTGTATTTAATAAAACCTAGTTCATTTTTTTAAAATATCTTTTTTCTTTATTAGCCAATTTTAATTTAGCAGATCTTATTTTTTTATATTCTTTTTCTGAAAAACTTGTCTGTTAACATCAAATTAAGATTTTAACTTATGAGAAAAATAATGAGATTGAAGTTTTGATTGTTTATTTAAAAATAGTTTCAGTAAAAAATTGATAGGTCCCTAGATGAGTCTTTTTATAATATCTTATCTACACATTTCAACTCTCAAACCTGTCTGTCTATACAGTTGTGTCAAGTAAAAAACCTTTAATTGGCCTAATATATTATGGAGTAAAAGTAACACATAAAAAATAAATAAAAACAGACACTATTTTATTTACAACAATAAATAAATATTACAAAATTAAACTTGACTTTCAAAAGCCGACAGTCTTTGCACAAGTGGAATATGTTTATTTCTAAATAGATAATTCTCATTTCCTAACACACTATAAAGACTTTCTCCTTCTTTTCCCAATAGCTGTCGAAGTGCCTTATTTCTCTCCAGTAACTTGGAATAAAACTCTTTGCCACCTTCCAAAAATATTTTACTTTTCTTCTTTAGTTCTTTATCCACCTTATCCTCATAAAATACTTGTGTGATATCTTTAAGCATCACATACACGCCAATACTGAACAATCCTACCAAAGAGTACATTGCTAATCTTAGACTAAGAGGTCTTCCATAAAATTCGAATTTTTCATTTAAGACCCTGCTTATAGCATAGGTGGTTACTACTAAGTTCGTATTAAGAGCAGTATCTATAAGTGGCTTTGGTGTTTGCCTATATAAAATTTCCCTTGCCATTGCATATAGTTGGGCATTTTCTGATAAAACAAGGGCCTTCAGTAGATTTTGAGCAGGTTCTGTCTCCCAAATAATTGTTTCGTGATTTATCTAAAACATACAGTGGGATATTCATTTATGATACATTATAGATTTATCACAGATAAGTCATCTACTATAAGATATGATATAGAAGCTAATAGAATAATGTAGTAATGATTAAATGATATAAACTTGACCCAGATTGACAACTCTAATTTAAAATCTAGACTAGATCAATAGAAATATGAAGGAAAATATAGTAAAAAAATGAATATTGATTCTTAGTATAAATATACGCAATGAATCGACATTAAAATATCAACTTACCCTCATTTTGGACCTATCAATGGTACTGGGATTATCATAAGAAAAGTTAATGGGTAATCCAATAATGACTCCGTCTTTACTCAAAGAACTACCGGCACTCATAACATCAAATCCACAAACATGAAATGGTTTATATAGATGTCGATCTACTGGATCCATCTACAAATTTTATATAAACAATATATGTATTCAAATTATTTCCATGTTTATAAAGAATAGTAAAAAAAGAATAAAATACCACTACTGATCATAACTTAACCTACTTAAATCTATATCTAAATTAAATCTTAATAAGATTAATTATAATCTTAGTCACAAAGAAGACTGTTATTTAAGAAAAAGCATCTTGAAATCAGAATATTACCAACATACCTCCAAGACTTCTAAAACTTTTTGAAACCTACTTTCTATTTCTTTCGTAAGTGGAACTGCCAAACCATTCCTGCAATAAAAATGAGTACAATAATTATTTTATTACTAATAAAAGAGTTATGTCTTACTTGTATAATTGAACAAGTTTCTTATATTCGCCTAAAAGTAAAGTATGTGGTAAATAGGTGGCGCATAGTGCACCGGACGAAAAAACTGCTGCAGTTATGTAGGACACTTTTTTTCCAGTGTCTGTAAGCATAAAAGCGGCAACCTTTTTAAAATTCATTTTTAAAAGTTATTTTATCCTCTTTAAAAGGCTATATTGAGGTTATGTGAACATTCTTCTGTTTTATCCGGACGAAATCCCAATCCCATGGGCCAAAGGTGTACACTCACAGAAAAAAGTTAATAAACGTATGATTTACAATATTGAACGCACAGTATTATTAGCTACAATCTACCAGTACACTTTATTTTTAAAGTTAAAGTATTTTAAGTAAAATAAAATTGATAGATTAATCACAGTTTAATGAACTATTTTCAAATTAAAATCCTTCTAAAATTATGCCCTTGCTTAAAAACGATCAAGTCGTAGGCCTTACGTCAGAAATTATATAGAGAAGAAAATGATGAATAAAATATATTAAGGTTATGTTGTAAGTCCATAAAAATATTATTATTTTCTAGTTAAAAACAATATCTATGCTTTGTAGCATTAATGGCTGATAATAAATTGGAAACGAAATCAACTTCGTATAAAAAGAATCCCAAAAAATCTTTAAAAGATCATACACGTCTTCCGAGACCTCCAAAGAAAACAGAGACAGGAGAAAACGTTTTATACGTTTCTTCCAAAACCAATATTAAGGTATGTTTAAAGGTATTTTATAATAAAGTTAACTGTATTGTTTATATTAGTCCAAGGACTTTGAATTATTTAAACAAGCATTGATTAATTAAAAGTAATTTACAATTAATTCTTTATTAAAATTTTAATGTAGTTCACAAGCAATAAATATGTCTTATATTAGCGATGTTTTTCTATTCAGACAGGTTTGCAAAGAACCAGATTAGAAATATCTTCCTTCATATGCTGATATGTCTGTAATATCTACCACATTTTATAAACCCAGAGCCAAAATTTGTGTAAAACATCTTAAGCAATGTCTAAACCAAAAATTGAAGACTTAAGATAAGTAGTGAGATTTTGTCAACCCTATTTTAGAAATTTTATTATTTAAGACGAAATATGTGATATAACTAAAGTGATGATTTATAAGTAATCATTTGTGGTGACATACACTATTATAAATAATAATCTTATTCCCATAAAGTTCATATGTATCTTCATTATACTCATTGCAAGATCATTCTTTTCTTGTGCCATACATTCTTCGTATATTAATACCTCTAACAATGTTTCAGGCACAACTTGATAGATGTAACAAGTTATTAAATAACAAGCATGACGAAATTATTATTTATTGCATGGGAGCAGCAATACAGAGAGGGATTTTACTAGCTCTACAGTTGTGCGAAGAGCATATCACCTACAAAGTCTCTACTAGCACTCTGACTACTGAACTTTTAGGTAATAAAAATAATTTAGTAGTACCTTGATCACCTTTAAGAAATTCATTTCGTGATATTAGCTTACGAAGGCAGCATCTACTCTCATAGCTGTTAAATAAAAACTATTTCTCATTATATACAGGGAAAAATATGTAGATATAGACATGGTGTATGGTATCAAACATTGTAAAAAAATTTAAATATTTTTAAACCAACACACAAAATTAAATAAAAAATAAAACAAGAAGTGAGAAATTCTTTTCATTTAAGGCCATCAGAGTATATAACGCATTTGTAAGCTACTACTAGAGTATGAAAAAGTTAACACATACTATACTGGCAATGGAATTTGAATTCTTAAGTGCATACATGTACTAAAATGAATTATTGTTTTAGATGACTTAGAGCCATCTGTGGATGATGCTGATTATGAAATTCAGAAGAGATTCAACTCTGCACTAAGAATTCGAGTATATAATTCACAACCAACACTGTCCTGAAATGTTTTTTACTACAGAAGAACTAATCCGTTGGCTGGGACTTACTGTCTTTGAGCTGTGGATAAATTTGATATCCCTTTTGCTGTTTACAATTATATTCGCCTTAAAATATAACCCTGCATTAGATCTAGATAGTATAGACTGGTGGTTCATATTTTTTCCCTTGTTCGCAGGAGATGCACTGAATGCATATTTTGTTATTATAATTTTTATTCGTATGCTTCTAGAGACTACTTTAAAGTTTGCTCTAATACGTTTTAGTTGGTCAGGTACAGTACTTCTTAATATGTTTTTGTTTAAGTATTTATTGTGTAAAAGACTTTTGGGACAAACTGCATTGGATTACTCCGAGGTGTTTGCTCCAGTATATATTCTTCTACAATTAATTGCTGTGCGAGCTTGCCAGCAAAGTTAATATTTGTGATGTATATAAGCTAATATATAGTTAATAAATATGTACTTTATAAAATATTTTAATTAAGTCATATATCCTACTTATCTGCAGATTACTTTTATGAGTCAATATTTCTATTAAATAAAACGAACTACTTTCTAAGTTAAAAAACAAATATGTACTACATTGTTTTCATAATCAACAAAATCGGTTCAAGTGAATTTTACATTGAGAATAGAATAGAATAGAAAAACGCTTTATTCTCAGGATTCACAAGTTACATACAATATAAATTGTCAATAGAGAGAATGGTGTCAGTTACAATTTATAATGGTTGCTGTAACAACCTACACTTAACATAAAAGTAATATTAAAACATAATGATAATAACAGTGCCATTTAGATTCAGGTAAGAGCCCTTAGTCTGCCTACAGGTCAGCTTGAAGGTATTCTTCCACTTTGTATGGTTCAAGGTGTATGAGCAATTGTTGAACAGACTTTCTATATTTATTTACGTCAGATTTTGATGCTGTAAGGCAGTTTATTAAAGAATTTAATACAGGCATATTCTGTGGTTTTCTCATATGTTGTTAGTCTATGTATTGGTATATTATAGTTTATGAGATTGTTTCGTGTATTAGTATTATGGTTTGTTATGTGTTTCAAGAATTTATGTCTATTTTTAAAAATGAAAAGTAAGCATTCATATATGTATGTTCCAGCCATTGTTAGTATGTTTAGCTTTTTGAAATTACCTCTACATGAATCTCTGTATCTCAAGTTAAGTAGAGTTCTGATTGCTCTTTTTTGTAATATAAAAACCTGTTCAGCGTTACCACTTCCCCCCCAGAAAACTATTCCAAATTGCATTACAGAATGAAAATTTGAAAAATATACAACTCGTTTACATTTTTCGTCCAAATAATTTGCTGTTATTCTGAAAGAGTAGCAGATAGATGCTAACCTGTTACAGATCTCATTTATATGCACTCCAAAATCTAAATTTTGGTCAATATGTACCCCCAGAAATTTTGTGCTTTGGTTTAGAGTAACCATTTGCGATTGAATTGAGACAGTTTTTGGTAAGGTACTATTATTTGTTTTAGTGACAAAACATATATAATTTGTTTTTTCTCTTTTCAGTATGAGTTTATTCATATTGAGCCATCTCTGTGCTTTATGTAATATATTATTAGCGATATTCAATAAATTATTCAAGGATGACCCTATAGTTAAAATGTTAGTATCATCGGCAAATTTCATAATAAGAGTATTCTGATTGTTATCTGTTATGTCTAAAGCTAAATCATTTACATAAAAAACAAAGAGAAGAGGACCCATAATACTTCCCTGGGGAATTCCCACCGAAATAAGACCTTCATCAGAGAAGCAATGTGTTCCCTCATACTCAAATTTTACTTTCTGTTTTCTATTTGATAGGTATGATTTTATCCAATTATAACCTGGCCCTCTAATACCATATCTGTAAAGCTTTTCCATTAGTATTTGTGATTTAAAGTATCAAATGCTTTCGATAAATCTAAAAATATGCCCATGGATATATCTTTGTTATAAAATCATAAATAGCAGTCTCTATAGATTTTCCCTTAAGGTACCCATGTTGTGCATGGCATAACTGTCCCTCATTATAGAAAAAACTGAGAAGCCCAACACACATGACTGTTTCAAAAACCTTAGAGAATGATGGTAAGAGGCTTATTGGACGATAATTTTCTAGTAAAGTGGTATCACCTTTTTTATGCACTGGTTTTACTACAGCTATTTTTAAGTTGTCTGGAAATATCCCATTTATGAAGGTATTGTTTATTATATGACATATAATGGTATAGCTAGCTCATATGCACACAGTTTTATTATATTTGTAGGTATCCCATCATAACCTGAAGTGAATTTATTTTTCAATTTTCTAATTAATTCAATTATTTCATTTATAGTTACTGGCGTTAGAAAAAATGAGTTTTTGTTAAATTGTATTTTGGTGCTGAATTCTATTTTAGAGAAGAGACCAGTGTCCCCCTAGTTTCACTTAACAATATCCAACTTCCTCAATTCTCTAGCACCAAATACCTAGGAATACATCTTGACTCAAAACTCAATTGGAAGGAACATATTCTTAAGAAGCAGAAACAAATTGACCTAAGAATGAAAGATCTAAACGGGCTAGTCAGTAGTAAATCGAAATTGACCCTAGAACATAAAACCTTGTCTATAAAGCTATCATAAAACCTATCTGGATGTATGGAATCCAACTGTGGGGATGTGCGAGCAAATCAAATACAACCATAATTCAAAAGAGACAATAAAAAATACTGCAAATGATAACTGATTGCACCCTGGTATGTGTCAAACCTAACACTAGGTCTTCTTATGAAGACCTAAGAATTCTGTTCATACAGGATGTGATCACTAAATTGAAAGACTGGAATCACACAGTAACCCCTTAATTTAACCTCTAATAGGAGACTCAAAAGAAACCAGCTGACCTGAGAAACAGTTAAAAGTCTTGTCACTGGAGTAGACCTTACCAATCCAATAGGAGCCCTTTGCTCTTCAGCCAGGAAATTAGCTTATAGAACATTATTTATGTTTAGATTGCCAAAAGAGTGTAACTAAATGAAATAAATATATTTTTTTTCACTCCAAAAGTTCTGTGAGATGAATACACCCAAAGACAGGCAAGAAGTTGCTACTTTTGTAGACTACATTAATCCTAGCCATATACTCTGGTTTCACAAACACATAAAAAACTGCAAATAAATAAAATAGAAACTTGGTTAATTATAGCAAAATTAGGCCAAATTAACACAATGAAATAAAACATGACTTATTTATGGCATACATATATTCTACAGACCACCTAAATTTAACATTTTTAGTTTAGTATATAATGCAATAATAACCATAATGCACAAAAAAGGTGACATTTCAGACCTAAAGAACTATTAGTTTGCTCTCCCATACATACAAACTATTCATGAAGGTAATAACAAAATGGCTTGTTTACAAACTGGATAGTTACCAACCTTGTGAACTGTTCGATACTATAGATCATAAAATGCTTCAAGCATTGGCTGACTGCCGCATTGACTACCGATATATCCCCTTGATTAAAAGTATTTACGAAGCTGGTACAGCTTGTGTCCACCTTTATGAAGATACCAAGAAGTTTCGAATAGAACTTGGAATTAGACAGGGTGATACTATCTCTCCTAAATTGTTTACAGCTGGTCTTGAATATATGTTCAAGCAAATGTAACGAGAGGATAATATGGGAATTAATATAAATGGGGAAGATCTGAACCACCTAAAATTTGCAGATAACATCATTTTAATATCTGAGTTGATAAAGCTACAAAAATGCTGCACATGCTCTATAAAGTGTCAAAAACAATTGGTCTCAAAATTAATACCTCAAAGACAAAATTTATGACCAACCTTGTAGTCAGCGGTAAAATTTTGATTGAGAGCCATAGCATCGACCAAGTAATAGCTTACAAATATCTAGGGTATGAGATTCGCTTAGGCTGAGATAATCAGACAACTGAAATACAAAGAAGGATGGGTCTCACATGGGCTGCCTTTGGTAGATTGAATAACATTTTCAAGTCTATTATCCCAGTTTGTTTAAAAAGAAAGGTTTTTAACCAGTGCGTTTTACTGGTTCTTACATATGGTGCAGAAACACTGACTCTGACAAAAAGAACAATAGATAAAATAAGAGTTACACAAAGCGCTATGGAAAGATCAATATTAGGTATTACCATCAGAGATAAAGTACCAAACCTAGAAATAAGAAGAACAGGAGTCACAGATGCAGTTGAAAAATAGCCGTGGCTAAATGGGCTTGGGCCGGACATGTTGCCAGATTAACGGATGATAGATGGACCAGAAAGATTCTGGAATGGCGACCAAGGCAAGAGGCATATTGAAGCAGAGGACGACCACCGACTAGATGGACGGATGATATCAAGCGCATCACCATAAACTGGATGCAAGAAGCTCAAGATAGAAATAGGTGGAAAATTTTATGGGAGGCCTACGTTCAGCAGTGGAGAAGTTTAGGCTAATTGATGATGATGATATCTTCATAAAACTAGCAGTGTTCTTTTATTCTATTATTATTTGCACCTGATTGTCACATCCCAGATCTAATGCACTGTTGTTCTGCAGTTCATTCTGTAGATTTTTAGTAATATTGCCTTCTTAGATCTCCTTTACCTAGTTGACTAAGATCTTCATTGTTCTGGCTATGACATTTTTTAATTAATTACTTGCAGCAATTCCATTATATGTTTGTTTCACTATATCTTTTTCTTAACATGCATAGAATGTAATTGTTTTCACATGTTTCTTCATTAATGATAAAGTACTATCAGTTTTTTGCTTTGATTAGCCTCACATGTCTTTTTGTATTTGATAGAAAACATATTTCATCTGATTTTTGTGTTTTCTGATAGATCTAGTTGTTGTATACATAAAAGTCTTTCATAGTTAGTCTTTATTCCTCTCTAAACCAAGAATGATTTTATCTGGGTTGGTTATTATTCACTATATTTCTCTCTTGAGGCTGTATTTTGCAGCTCTGCTCATATTATCATGGAGGTTTGCCCAGCGTTTTCATTATTTAGTATGTGGTTCAGTAAAATCACAAAAATAACATGTTATATGTATTTTCCTTACAAAGGTCATTGCAATACATAATGAAAAAAATGATAACCTAATTGTATTTAAGTAATAAAAGTAACAAAAATAAATATAAATATATTATTCTGCTTTTGTCTTTGTTTTGGGCTTCTTTAATTTCTTTAAACCATCTATATTACCCTTTAGAAGACTGCTATAGGCCACTTGGAATTTATTAACATCTCTTTGATGGATAACTGTGGCAATCTTCTTCGATCTGGACTTGGCTCTTACTAAACAAAAATGTTCTTGTGGTTCTGGAAGAGGAGGTTTTCCGGGACGTGGATTCGGTCGATTTCGTCCATTATCTACAAAGTGTTTAGGACAAACTATTACTTATAAATTATTCAAAAAATGGTAATTATTTTTATTTGCGTAATATTTTAGTAGTTGCTACGATACTTACATCTTTTAAATGTCATAGTTACTGACCCATCTAGACGAGACTTCTGGAACAACTTAGTCAACTCTAACAAAAACTAGAAATAAAAGAAGAGCTAAAAATCTACATCACAAAACTTATAATTAACTTACAGTATCATTCTCTAATAACACCATTTTCAATTTAAAGAAAGCTGAAATGAAGATAATTTGAGAAATATGTTTTTTCCCCGAAAATAACCTTTAAGTTTTAATCAAAATTAATATTAATGAACCAACATATTGTTCAAATGTCAAAGATATTTTAACTGACGGAGACGGAGCAATGTCAAAATACTTCAAAGAATGGCCTTTTCTATTAAACTCTACAGTTAGGTAAATGGCTTAAGATTTCAACATTCGAGCAAAAAGCTAAATATCGTCACACACTTGCAAATTTGATATTGAAAACCAATTGGTAGAACAAGTGATGAAATAAAAGCATCTTCGAATTACTTTATTAAGTAATTAATTTAATTTCCAATTCTATTTTTGTATATCTAAAATTATAAATTGGTAAAATGAATAAGTAGACTGCCGGCTTCGGAAGTTTAGGCAGAATAAAAATTTCCAAATGGACAGAAGGGGATTCCTACCTGTCATTTAACGTGATACGTGTATCCTGAAAATCAACCAATAGAGAAACAGTGACATCAGTTTTCAGTCCATTCATTAGTAAATTAAAAAGTTAGTATTATTATTGGGTCATTATCAACTGGAAAAGTCGTTTTGTATGATTTTCTAAATCTACGACACTTATTTTAATAGAATACACAAAAAATACCTTCGGTAAGTATAGTGTAATAGTTATTTACTAGTTAAATAAGCTTAATAATTAAATTGTCACTTATTAGATTATGTGTTTACAAAAACATTTTGCAAAATATGAGATTATTGCTTTACCATCACTAATTTATAGAATTTATATTGCTTATATTTTTATTTTGGTATTCTATATTTAAACGATATATTTTGATTTAGACAATTCTTTAAATACAATGTTTAATGTAAATGAAAGTATCTCCTAGTTCAAATTACCTTCACACCATTGAAAAACTTAAAAATTAGCTATGCCATCTTATTCCTTGACTTTAGTTACGTTTTGAATAAATATCTGCTTTAGAGAAACTTATCTTTACAATCTGTGGTTAAAAAATGCACATTACCTTATATAAATAGGTTTGGTTTTCTATGTAATAAAGTAAACTTTCTGAAATTATATGCTAAATGTCAGTTTTATTGGCATTATACCAGAAAATGACTGAATTTATTAGAATTCGCAAATTTTTATTAAAATTTCATTTAATTAATATTTAGTTAAGTTGTTTTCTTAAGTTGTGGGAAAACCAGACTAAAGACTGTATAGTGTAGGTTATATACTATGAATAGTGGAATTTCCATTTGTATTGTTTAATTGATTGTATTACTTGAGATACACTTGAATAAAAGTTGGGAATTCCAAAGGTTTTTAAAAATAGTTTTGTGTAAATTTTGTTATCGTAAACAGTTTTTTTTATTCCCTACATTCTATATTTTCAGTCAGTCGGTCAGTCAAAAATCCTTAAAATGAAGAAAAATTAAATCAGTAACATTATCTTAAAAATAATAAAGAAACTGTTGCCTATTAAAAGTCTATATAAAATGAGTAAGAGATCCAGTAACCCATCTCTTGTTTGGCTTTCATCTCTTAATTTTTTGTATTCTATACTTTTTATCTGTTCTTTTGTTGTGAATTGTACCATTGACAATCACAAATTATAAAGAAAAAATAGGTTTTTAGTTATTGTTAGTTATTTTTATTTACTTTTATTTATTTATTCCATGAAAGTATAAATGTCACTTATAAAAATGCCAAATATACAATTACTGACCCTGAGCGAAAGCTATGTGGGTCAAACTAGAAAAAAATATACAAACACTAATATAATTACTTTGACACATTAAACAATTTGAATAAGAAGATGAGGTTCAACTGTGGAGTGCAAACAATTTGTATATTGTGTACAGCTATAATCACTGATATTTATTTAATAGAAAGAAAACTCAAACATATTTATACAAAAAGGAAACAAAAAAAAACAAATCAAAACTTTTTAATTATAAGGTTGTAGTGGATTATTCCTTCTACCCCACAATGCTTCATTGTCCTGCAGTTGTGTTCATTGCTGTAGCTCTAAGGTGGAATCTATTTCTTACTGAGTGGCAGTTGTTTCCATTAAAGTGAAGTTTCTCCATTTGACACCTATGGTTAATGTACAGTCCCAAATATTTAATACATTCAACTTTTGTAAAGGCCTTGATTCAAGCAATTTTTCTCTGATTATCACCATATAACTTGATTTATTTGCATTAAGGATAGTTTATAATGACCTAACCATCCCTTCACCATCTGTAAGTGTTGGAATTGAATTAGTATAAATAAGTATCAGCATTGACCAAGTATTGGCCATTGAGGAACTCCACACTCAATACTGAACAATTGAGTATACACCTTGTTAAAGAAGTTGTGTTCTTCCTGATAGGTTATAATTAAACCACTTCATCACTATGCCTGGTATGCCTAAAGTTTCCAATACAGATAATAACATTATGTAATCAACTGTATCAAAGGCTTTCTTCAAGTCAAGTGATATAAATATAAAAATTATTCTCTAAAGAGACATCATTATTTTGCATACTTTAAATAGTTACTTAAATATACTTATTACTATTTATCTAATCCATATTTCCTACATGTTTAACATTCCAATGATAATTTAAAATAAAAAATGCATCCTAAATAAACATAAAATCTCTAGAATATATAAAATGTTACTTCACTTGACAATAATAATTCACTTAGATAATCAATATGTAATATGCAGTTTCAGCTTATGGAAGTATACTAAAATATCAAAATGAAATGGTTGTATTTGTGTTGTTTGCTACTGATTCTTCAAGTCTGCACTGCTCCCCCAGTGGAGAAAAAGAAAGAAGAACCTGAGGATTCAGAAGTAAATGGTTTAGAAGATTATATGGAATATCACAGGTGAGTTTTTCTATCAAAGGTGGCTGTGAAGTAAATGATGTAAACCACATTATTTTACATTTATACACATTTTGCCACAAATTTTGCCACATGATGTTAGATGCAGTTTCTTCTTGATAACTTTTTATCATGGCTTGTTTTGGTTTTGAAGAGAACTGGGGTTTCTAAAGTTTTTTTACAAAAGAAGATTTCTTAACTGTAAGTGTTATTATATTAAAATCTTGTAAACTTATTCAACAAAGATTTCTACAGCTAATGCTTTAAAGCAGTTTTCCTTCACAATGGTAATAACTAGGCAGCTGTTTCTATTGGTCACTTCACCATACTCAAAAAATTGTTCGAAAAGTTTCTGTTTCTTTTGAAACAGTAGAAAAATCAGTACAATTCACACAAATGGTTCATTTCAAAATGTTCAATCTTATCAGTACCCTTTTTCTCTTTGTCTTTGGAACAGTCTCATTCAAGAAAAACATTGGGGAAAGAGAGAGTGGCAAAAAGATCACAGTGGTAATTGCTTTGAACAATGTTCTACATGAAAGTCTTGTTGACTCAAAGAAAGTGGTTATACCACCTCTTCATACAGAATTAGGATTGATGAAACAATTCACAAGAGCTCTTGATGAAGATGGTGCATGTTATCAACATCTTCGTTCTGAATATTCTAATTTATCTGCAGCTAATGAAGAAGGTGTTTTTGAAGGTCCTGACATTAGGAAGCTAATGAAAGATGACAATTTCGAGAAAACTATTACACTTACAAGAAAAGAAGCATGGGTAAGTTTTAAACAAGTTGTCCACAATTTTATAGGAAATCATCAAAATGCAGAATACAAAATAATTGTATCAAGATTGCTAAACATTTTTCAAAATCTAGGCTGCTTGATGGTCTTGAAAGTACACTTTATGTTTTTTGGTTTAAATTAGTTCCCAGAAAATGTAGGTGCATTCAGCGAAGAGATGGGAGAGTGATTTCACCAAGACTTCAAGCAGAAAGAGAGCCATTTTCAAGGCTGTTGGGATGTAGGAATGATTTCAGATTACTGCTGTCACTTAAGAGAAATGATGTTTCAGTTGAACATAGACATAAGACACTCAAATGATTGTTTGCATTAAAGTGAGATATATTTATATTTGAGGAAAGTGAAATGTGGGAAGATGAAGAATATCATGGCATAAGAACTTAAGGGAATGTTTTGAATGCAGTAATACAGAACTATTTAGAGCAGCAGTCAACAGGGTCCACATACCCATGATTATTTCCAACCTTTGATAGATAGAAGATGGAACTCAAAGAATAACATTTTATAAAAAAAGTAAACCTAAATTTATACTTATTCTTATTAATTCATCATCATCATCATAAGTGGCTTGACAATCCGTTGTGGATCTTGGCCTGCTTCGTTTCCTGGCAACTTCCCTCTATCTTCTGACGCTTACAACTTCTTGGGTCAACTTAACTAACTTAGGTGGGATTTCAAAGTTTATCATTGCATTATATAATGCAGTTCTTTTCATACTGTCATAGGCTGCTTTGAAGTCGATGAAGGGATGGTGTGTATCTATATTATATTCTAGTGACTTTTCTAGAATCTGCCTATGTGTTTGAATTTGATGTGTAGTTAATATTCCAGCAGTAAATCCGCATTGATATTGACCAACAATATCATTTGTAAAATGTTCCAGTCTTTCAAGTCTTTCAAACAATAAATTGCCGAAGATTTTATATGCAAATGCTAACAGTAATGCCTCTATAGTTCTTACACTCCAGTTGATCACCCTTTTTATGCAACGGACATGTTATTACCTTTAGTCACTCTTCTGGTACCAATTAATTCTGCCATATAAGTACTATTAGTTATCTAATCCATAAACTAATAGTTATATTAGTTTTTGGATTGCTGCAAAAAACTGATCACTTTTTTTTTTATAAATTTCCAAACAGATTTCGTTGATTCCTGGGGCTTTATTGTATTTGAGTTTTAGGATGGCATTTGACACTGCTCTTGTTGGATCTTCACTGTGTAGTTGACGTTGTAGATTTTGTTGATTGTCTATGTTGTAACCTCCTTCAATATCGTTTATATTTAGATGTTCGCTGAAATGTTGTGCCCATTTATTAAGAACTGAGTTTTTATCATGTAGAATTTCGCCGTTAGTGGCTTTAAAAATTTTTAATCGTGGTTTAAATTCTCGACGGCTGTCATTTAAGGATTTGTGGTATTTTTTTGTAGCATTTTTGTCGAATAAACTTTGTATCTCTCATCTGTGTTTGTATTCCCTCTTCTTACGTCGATGGATACGTTTTTCCTCCCTTTGAAGACGTCTATACTCGTCTTTTTTCTCCATGTACAACCTGCGTCGATGATTTTTTGTAGCTCAGATTCGCATTCAGCGCACCAAAAACCCTCGGAAAAGTATACTCTGTTTTCTGGGAGTCAAGCTTGTCAGCCTGTATTATCTGTAATCAAAGAAGCAATTGAATTAGTGTTACCCAAAATCGGTCTTGGTCTTGTTCTTGCGTTTTCGCAAGACCAAGACCAAGACCGCCTAATTTTAGCAAGACCAAGACCAAGACTGACCATGCAAGATTTTAGCAAGACCAAGACTAAGTCTGCGAGACTCTTGCGTCTTGCAGTTAGGACTGAGTGTTGTTTTAGCGAGTATAGCAGTTTTAGTATATATATATATATATATATATATATATATATATATATGTATGTATGTATGGCAGAAATTAATTGTCCAGATTTTAAGAATAGCTGCCCTCTAATCATAAAATTTACGCCTGCTTTATTGATTTCGAAAAGGCCTTTGACAAAGTACAACATGAACCACTAAGACAAGTTCTAATAAAGAAAAATATAGACAGCCGAGATATTCGAATTATATGCAATCTATATTGGAATCAAACAGCAAATGTCAAGGTTGAGGGCAGACTAACAGAAGAAATTCAAATCCTTCGAGGAGTCCGGCAGGGATGTATCTTATCGCCACTTTTATTTAATCTGTATAGTGAAGCTATCTGTGAACAAGCACTCGAGGAAGAAGATCTTGGTCTGATAATAAATGGTGAGACGATCAACAATATAAGGTATGCTGACGATACAGTTCTCCTAACGGGAACGCTAGTAGAACTACAAAATCTCGTTCAAAGTCTCAATATATACTGTAACAGTTACGGCTTGAAAATTAATTTGAAAAAAACTAAATTTATGGTAATCACGAAATCAAAGAACATCAGAGCTAATCTTGTAATAGACAATACAACGATTGAGCGTGTGCCCTGTTATAAATATCTAGGTGCTTGGATCACAGACGATACTGATCAAACAAAAGAGATTAGATGTAGAATAGAAATCGCTAGATCAGTCTTTAATAGAATGCGCAAACTCTTTTGCAATCGTGATATCAATATAAAGTTACGAATACGAATGCTGCGGTGTTATGTCTTTTCTACCCTGTTATATGGAGTTGAGGCTTGGACACTAAAACAGTTGACCATAAAAAACATCGAGGCTTTCGAGATGTGGTGCTATAGGCTCATTTTCAGAATATCATGGATGGACCGCGTCACTAACACGCAAGTACTCCAAACTTTAGACAAAAGATGCGAAATTCTAAATGAGATAAAAACTAGAAAGATGGAATACTTGGGGCACATTGTGAGAGGTGAAAAGTACGAACTTTTAAGAAACATCATGCAGGGCAAAATTAAGGGCAAAAGAAGTGTGGGAAGAAGAAAAATATCGTGGCTTCGTAATCTACGTGAATGGTTCGGGTGTAGTTCGATTGAACTTTTCAGGCGCGCTTTTAACAAAGTCGCAGTGGCCATGATGATTTCCAATCTCCGCTAGGAGTGGCACGAGAAGAAGAAGAATCATAAAATAATCTTCTTGCATTGCGACGCCGACAGTAATATCGTATCGAAACTTTTTAAAAATATGTAACCTTAGCTAATAAAAAATATAATACTTACTGTTAAGGACACCCAATAATTCAATTTTTTCCCATTATGATTGAGATAGGGGGAATGTAACTAAACAAATCTTATCGACCTGACCAAACATCATTTCTGCTGAGTGTGCGATGACCTCATTCGGTTAAACAAAATTTGCTGAAAGAGCGCCGGCTAATATTCAAATGTGGCGAGAAAAATTAATAACAGATAATGTCGGCTACCGTGTAAACAAAATACCGAAATATTTAGAATAACGATGTAACGAGATATAATTCTTAGGGCATTAGATAGTAACGAACATAATATATTATGATAATATTATTATAGTAACTAGTAGTATTTGGTTTTTCGACATCACTAAACTTTATTATTGAGTTTTCCTTTGAGGCTAATGTAATAATTGTTTTTCATCTAATTCTTGTTGTTCCCGGAGTATGAGGGACGAAGTTCTAGTTGGAGTTCTAGATCTAAAAGACCTAAAAGCAAATTTGATGAGTTTTTCGAAATAATTCATGCATCCCAAATTGCTTTGTGTAACGTCAGATTTAAGGAAGCATGTAATATCTTTTCACAAAAAGCAATTACAAATATTTCTTCCTAAAAAAGATTCGGTGGAGATATCACAAGCTTTTTAATAATTGCTGAAAAAAGTAGACATGTAAAAAATATATTTATTACCTTATTACCAATTGCATATATTATATTGTGTACCTACTACTTTATTTTGGTAAATTAATGTATTTATTAAGTAGGTATTTAAAAATAATTAATTTAAAATAACTTGATTATCATTGCTTTTTTACCTATTCCTTATTTTTATAAGTTAGTTTTTTATATAAAAGTAGAGCTAAGATTGTTAACAACATTTATTTTGCTTTAATAAGTGGATTATAGTTTGTTATCTTATCACCTAAAGAATCTGTGCCCTTGATACATGTATGTGGATTTTTTGCCACATACTAATCTTTTTAAGATTTCCATTTCATATATGGTGGGGGTCCATCAATCCCTTTCTAGACAGATAATGTTCTTTAAAATACAGTCAAGTTTATGTCATTAATTTGTTTTTTTTTTTTTTTATTTCAACTATGTTTTAGCTCATGTAAACTTATTAAATGCAAACGTTTATTAAGAAACAGATTGACTTTCGTGGGGCATGGTAGATAGATTAGAGTTAGTTAAACCCCACCCGGTGTCAGTTGATTAGACATTAATTAATTTGGTTGGTTTTTGTTATTGCTATGTTAATTCAAGCTTAAATGTACTTACTCTGTTACGTTGTTCTAAGATCTAAAGTAACATTTAATAAATAGTAATAGGCTAATGGGCAACTGCAAGACTTGCAAGACTCTTGCTGCAAGACCAAGACCGAGAGTGCAATACCAAGACCAAGACCAGGTGTACTGGCGCAAGACCAAGACTGTCTAAGTCTCGTCTTGTTCTTGCATTTGGGCAACACTAAATTGAATACGTAACATTCATGTTCCGGACTTAAAAAAAATACTCCTTACTCATTTTTTTGAAGACAAATTGTGCAGATCAATCGTTTCCTCGCATTTACTGTATGTACATTTCTAAAGTGTTTAAGGTTTTGTCTTTATGGTAGCTTCAGTATTTCCTTTCCTGCTTTTAAGCAGGCGTTAAGCGACAATTCAATTGACGTATTTTAGTAGTTCTGACGTGGATAAGAAAAAATAATATGCTAATTTTTTTATTAACATTGACTGCTGTTGTGTCGTGTCCTTAAAGAATTTATAATTTGTTTGATAAATTCATAATCAGTTATAATTACACAGAAAAATGTTTTTTGTATAATCTTACATAATGCCAGATAGTTTTCTTATCATATGTTATATTTACCATTTCCCATATGTTTTGATATATGAACAATAAAAAAAATTTATGATGCTGTTCTTTATTAAAATTATAATTAAAAATATTTTATTAACACTTTTTTAAACGATAAAGGTGACTTATAGGGTTAGTAAAGTTAAAAGTGAACATGAAATGTTCAGATAATATATGACATAAATAGCTACTAGTATGAGGGCTGCAGTCTTGCAACACCAATTATAAACGTCATATCTTTATTAGGATCATAAAGTTTTAATGATATAGGTGTCCGTTTTTACACATGAATTTTATTTGCCTTATTTAATGTTTTTCCATAAAAAAAAGTCGTTTATTATTTGTGTTTCGTCAACCAAAATGCTAAATTACAAAACTCTTTTTACCTAGTTTAAATGACATAGATTTTTCAAATATTTTATGTATATGTTACGGTTAAACTTCGAAAATGGTTAATCTCGACATTAACCGGTTAATCTTTACTTGAGCCGGTTCATCTTGACTTTAACCGAAATGTAATGTTTATGTCGTACGAAATTCAGTGCTTTAATTATAGAGACGTCTCCTTACTTAATACCGCATATAAAATCTTATCGAAAATCCTATTAAGTAGGCTGACACCGTTTGTAGAAAATTGTATGGGGGAATACCAAGCCGGCTTCAGAAAACAGATCGACCATAGATCAGATCTTTATTCTAAGAGAGCTGCTTGAAAAAGGATGGGAATTCAATAGAACTATCTATGAAGAGATTATGAAGAGAGTGGTTCGGTTGCAGCTCATTAACATTATTCAGAAGCGCGGCCAATAAAATTAAAATAGCGATGATGATTTTCAACCTCCGATAGAAGAAACCTGAAGAAGAAGGACGTTAACTTAACATATATATCATAATATGGACTCCAAAAAGGATCTAAATATAGAACTATACATGTGTAACTATGTACTTTCTTTTCGGACATGGGGGTGCAACTTCAACCCCCTTGCACGCCGCTGCCGGCATCTATGTACAACGGAAATTTAAAGATATGTACAGAAGAGATCAAAATGTAAAATTTACAAAACACTGAGCAAAGATCAGTGCTAAGATATGGATCAGAAACATGACTACTGCCAAAAAGCTAAGATGAGAAGCTACTAGCGATGTTTAAACGGACAATTTTAAGACATATACAAGGGAATGCGAGGAAATAAAGACAGGCGAATATGCAGGAAAATCTAACCCCAAAGAAAATTATCAAAGCGAGCACCAACTAGAAACGCAAAGCCCATAATAGATCGGAATGGCGTAAGATCTTAGAACATTTAAGACCCATAAAGGCTTATCGTGCTTCTGGTGTTGATGATGAGTCCCTACGTAAATCACTTTGTAATAATCACTTTGTTGTTACTGATAGCGGACACAATTCTATATTTTAATAATGTTATCTGGTATTGAAAAAGTCTTTATCTATATACGTTTATTTTGTAATTTTTAGGTATCTAAAAGAGGTTGTGCACGCCTTGGAATCAGACCCGGATTTCAGAGCAAAACTAGAAAAGGCTGAAGAATCCGATATTAAATCTGGAAAAATAGCAGAAGAATTAGAATTCGTCTCGCATCACGTCAGAAACCGTCTAGACGAGATCAAGAGAGTAGAATTAGAGAGACTGAAGCATTTAGTTGAACAAAAGAGGAAATTGGAAGATACCAACGCCATAGACACCGAAGACCCGACGCACAACCATCTGGACCACTCGAATCCACATACTTTCGAAATTGAAGACTTGAAGAAACTGATTGCTAAAACTGCTCAGGATTTGGATGAGGCTGATAAGAAAAGAAAGGAGCAATTTAAACAGTACGAATTAGAAAAAGAGTATAAGAAATTAGATAAATTGAATCATACCAATGGAGACGATAGGCAAAAACTAGAAAAAGAATATGAAGTAAGTAATTGAATACTCGTTATAATCTTTATTAAATCGATAATTTAGTTGGTTATTGTATTTATTCATTTATTTTATCAAGGAAATGGAAAACAAGCATAAACGTCATGAAAAACTCCACGAACCCGGACACAAAGCTCAGTTGGAGGAAGTATGGGAAGAACAGGATCAGATGCAACAGGACTTCGATCCCAAAACCTTTTTCATGCTTCACGATATCGACGGTAATGGCTTATGGGATCAAGATGAAGTGAAAGCTTTGTTCATTAAAGAATTAGACAAGATGTACCAGCAAGGTAAGCGTGACAGTAAATTAATTTCTTTTAACCTTTATATGTTTAGATGTGGTTCTATAATGGCAAATAGACATTTGCACTTCATTTGACATTAAAACAGAAAGGAACAAACGGAATTTAGATGAAAAAGTAATTGTCTCCGCCACTTTCTACCTTTTCTATCATTTTTATTCAATGTTAATCACCGCGAAAGGAAAAGAAGCGTAAGTCCACCATGTGGAACCTCTAATTCATATTGTCTATATGACACACATCGGCAACACTGTGTCAAACGGCACGGCGACTCACGAACGCTCTGTTTTATTGAATAATTGTTTTAATTTTTTAACGTTTTCTCTCGACACGATACCAGTACCCCACACACACTGTATACAGTACTTAATATTTAACACAATAATAGATAATGTTTGTGAGTTATTTTTCACTATACGTACTGAATGCCACGTTGCCACCTCTAAACCGAATCAATGTTTCAGAAACAATTATAACAATATTTTTATAAATACCGTTTTATAATTTTTAGGTGCTCCTGAAGACGATTGGCGGGAAAGAATGGAAGAAATGGAAAGAATGAGAGAAAGCGTTTTTAGGGAAATGGACACAAACCGCGATGGGTTTATAGACTTCCACGAATTCTACCAACAAACCAACACTAATGATTTCAAACAAGACCATGGATGGCAAGGTAAAATTGTTATTTTTTAATACTTCTTAATACCTTTAGCAATAGTTTATAAGATTATTAATTTCCAGGTTTAGACGAACAAAAACCGTACACCGACGAAGAGCTAGCAGAATACGTTAGACAACACGAACGGTACCAACAGGGAATTCCCGAAGCTTACCATCCTGGAGCTTATCAAGTTCCTCCCGCAGGATATCAACAACATCCACCTCCAGGAGCAGGATATCAACAGCCACATCCAGCTGGAGGTTACCAACAACCTCCACCAGCCGGATATCAACACCAACCTCCAGCAGGGGGATACCAACACCAACCTCAAGCAGGAGGATACCAACAACCGCCACCACAAGCAGCAGGATACCAACAACAACCACCACAAGCAGCAGGATACCAACAACAACCACCACAAGCAGCAGGATACCAACAACAACCACCACAAGCAGCAGGATACCAACAACAACCACCACAAGCAGCAGGATACCAACAGCCACCACCAGCAGGAGGATACCAACAGCCACCTCCAGCAGGATATCAACAGGTACCTCAAGGTAGCTACCAGCAACCCGCAGCTCAGCAACAACAGCAACACGTACCACAGACAGGCCAACAAGCTCAACCACCTCAGGGAGTACAACAACCTCAGGTTGTCCAGCAACAAAATCAACAACCACAGGTAAGATATGAAATTTAGTTATATTTAAGTCTTTCATTATGTAAGGAACAATTTCTTCTTATGGTGTCTATTTTGTATTTTGTAGGCACCACCCGTTCACCAAAATGATCTGAATACCAACGAAGTACACCCGCCTTCGGCTCAACAGGTACCTGCAGCTCAACAACATAACGTTAATCAAGGAAATGTTCAACATTAAGTACTGAATATAAAATTGTAGACTTTCATCGTTTAATGAATATAAATAAAGACTTCCTTTACAAGACATTTATAGATAGTAATATTTTATTGAAAAGATTTTGTGATAAAATTTTATGTTATCTCTTTTTCAGAAACTAGTCCTAGCATACTATTTTACAATTTGACGAAAAATCGTAGCATTTAATGTTTCTCATTTTCTCAGTGTAGTTTTTAACTGTTTTATACTTGAAAATATTTTGAGTAAATAAATTTTAATAACCAGAAATTCTTCTTCTTCCTTTATTGAGTTCTATCCCAGGGGATAATTTACCCAGCTAATTCAGGGGGATATTCTCAACTTGCTCTAGACAATCGAATTTCCCCATATAAGACTAAATTTAATTTATTTTATATTGAATGAACACTATGTTGAAACTTCTTCTTGGGCAAACAGTTAGTATAGGAAAGATCGCACAACACAGCATAAAACTTTTCTCGCTTGGGGGTAGCAACCAAGCTGAACACATACCAGAAATGCTACCAACGGATGATAGTCAGAGAACCCAGGGCTAAAAAAAGAGAGGAATTTGTAAGATTATGTTATAGTAGAATATAAGACAAGAAGGCTAAATTGAATTTTAGGGCAATGAACATAACCTTGGTATCAAATTATATGTTTGTGCGTCACAGTGTTGCCATGTTTTTTTGTATAAAGTATAGAAGTTTTTAAAATAGAAAGATATTTTGACGAAATTATATATATTTTAAAAAACTTATACAGAAGTAAAATACTTCACATTTGTATAGGTATATACCTAAATACAAATGTGAAGTGTTTTACTTCTGTATAAGTTTTTTAAACGATGGTATACAGCCAAATACTGGGATTTTCCCATTAATTTTTATATAATGTTTTGTTATGAGAAGCCACAATTTTTGAATTTATAATAAAAAGCATTCATAAAATAGTATGTTTAACTTTAAATATAGCTAAATATTTAGTGTATTCTTTTGTTTAACCTAATTTTTGTATTTTTATTTAACTTTACTTTATTCTGTAGTTTTTAAAGTTTCTAAACTATTTATTTTTACCTTAAGCATAATTTTAATGGTTTTTATTATATAAGTATTTTTTAAATGCAAGATATAATTTTATTTTATATTTATAGGTATAATTTTAATGCTTTTAATTATATATGTATTTTTCACATTTTTGGTTATTTATTTATGTATTTTTCACGTTTTTGTTTTAAATTTTCATTTCATATAATATAAATCTTGTCCCTAATTTTATCTGTGAGAGTATGAAATAATCGAGTATATGGCAACACTGACGTATATTAAACTTACATTTAACGTCAAATATATCTATAGGTTATGTTCATTGTACGAAAATTCAATTTAACCGACAGGAATATATATTATAGGTTGATTTTGGCTAGATTAAGAAAAGTAATCAACTAATTTAGTCTTTGGGGATTATGGGTGGATAGGAGAGAGAGCAAATCTCTATAGGACTTTGTAGTTTTGTTTTAACCAATTCTTTGTAGAGGTAAAAATTTGGAGAAACGTTTATTGACCATTCTAGGATAATATGACCCAGAGATCCAATTTGACCACATTCACAATATGTATTGTACAGAGTACCTATGCCGAATAAATGAACTGGAGGGGAACAATGTCCTGTTCTCATCCTAATTACCATGGTGTTATGCTTTCTGTCTTTATAAGGAAATTGACTGAACCATGGTGATTTATTCCATTTATTGACCATTTTACTATAAAACGACCCTTTTGATCTGTTTGAATTCCATTCTTGTGTCCATCGATTCCAAATTAGCTTTTTAATATGAAATAAATAGTTTGAATAATGCAATTTAACTTTGCTTGGCATTTTTAGTGATCTTCCTATGTTTGACAATTTGTCTGCAACACAATTGCTCTTAATAAATATACGAATGCCCTGCAATCTATGCCAGAATAATACTAATGTTCTGTTGATTGGCTTCTGTTATGACCCTTTTGGTCATGATAGAGGTATGTTCAGTTTCCATTGAGTAAGATGTTTTCCCTATCTTTTGGATAGCACTCTTAGAATCAGACAAGATTAAGGCCCTCTTGATATCATTCTCCAAGATTAATTGAACCGCATGATTAATTGCAATAATCTCTGTAGTGCAAACTTGAGTCACAGAATCACAAATCAGGCAGTGCTAGAAAGACTTAACATTGAACCTCTGGTTATATTTACTATAAAAAAGAGAAAACTTGAGTTCCTTGGTTACGTTTCTAGAGGCACAAGATATGAATTCTTTTAGCTTATAATGCAAGTAAAAATAGCTAGACAAAGAAGCGTGGGGCGTAGAAGAATTTCTTAGCTGTGTGACATTCGTGAATGGTTCGGAATGACATCAGTCGAATTATTCCGCGCAGCAGTTTCAAAAGTGCAAATAGTCATGTTGATCAGCAACCTCCACAGGAGACGCTGAATGCAAGAAGCTTATCGCTTAAGTGACTAGAAAAACATTATCGTATGATTACTTACCTGAATTACAGTATTTTTCTGCTGACTAAGAGCTTTTAAGTTTAGTTCAAAGAAATTCAACGGCTTATTAACTTCTTTTTGGTGCTTAGTTGTGAGATGCCACATAAGCTTTGACGTTTTTGTTCTCTCACGCGATAAAACATCGCCAATTTTTTTCGAGTTTAATTTATCACCATTCAAATGGTGGTAATTCAATGGAAATTTATCCATTCTACAAACGCGCGGAGAGTTAAAACAAAAGATCATTGCAGGTGGCGCTTACTCTCACCGCAACGACAATACGGTGTGGCAACGTCGCAGTTTGGTCCGCATGAATAACAGATAAATGTATTAAAATATGAAAAATCATTACCTAACGTATGTAGTCTTTTAAATAATTTTTTGCTTTCTATGGCACAAGGGGGTCGCCAGAATATTTGAACCTGTAAAGGGGTCGATATCAAACAGATTGAAAAACACTGATATATTTTATTACCAAAAATACATTGTCTATTGATCTTAATGATCTCATTTCTACATTATTATAATTACAACAATTAAAAAGTAACAAAACCCCAGGACCAGATGATATGTACGCAGAAACAATCAAGTTACTTTATGAAGAAAACCTAGACATTATTGTCAAGCTCTTTAACGACATCTACGATACGGACCAGATTCCAAAAGATTGGCTTCGATCTACATTTATCGCCCTACCAAAAACACCACGTGCGAAATTTGCAAGGACCACCGACTAATAAGCCTAATCACTTTTTAAAACTTTTCCTGAGAATACTTCACACTAGATTGTTTAAAAAATGTGAAGAGGTCAGTGGATGGAGTCAGTTTGGTTTCAAAAATGGACTTGGCACGAGAGAAGCGATCTTTAGTATGCAAACATTAATACAGAATTGTTTAGATCAAATAAAGGATGTTTTTGTCTCTTTCATCGATAATGTAAAACACGAATTGATGATAAAATACCTACAAGAGTTGGGATTGAATGCCAAGAATATAAGAATTATCGCCAATCTGTATTGGAACCAGACAGCAACAGTACGTCTTCAAAATTTCAACGAAACAGAAGATTTCTCCATTAAAAAAGGAGTAAGGCAAGGTTGTATACTGTCTCCAATGCTGTTCAATTTATACGTAGAAAAAGCCTTTGCAGAAGCAATGGCAGACTCTAATAAGGATATTAAAGTTAACGGCATTTATTAATAACATCAGGTATGCCGATGATACAGCCATAGTGGCAGATAACATCGAAGATCTTCAATGCCTTTTAAATGATCTACCTCTTGCAAGTGAAGCTCGGGGTTTGAAAATAAATATTAAGAAGACAAAAACAATGATTATAAGTAGAAATGATTACCCCAACGCAAAGATATATGTCTCTGGAGAAGAAATCGAATAGGTCAGGCAATTTAAATACTTGGGTTATTTGCTGAACGAGGGTTGGGACCACGAGAATTAAATAAAGAGCAGAGTTGAACAAGCCTGAAAGGCTTTTTTGAAGCTTCGTAAGTTTCTGACTGATCGCAAATTGGACTTCAACCTCCGATAAAAGATGCTTAAGTGTTACGTGTGGTCTGTTCTCTTGTACGGAATGGAAGTATGGACGTTAAATATCATGGACGGACAGGGCCAGAAATGAGAAAGTACTCAGAAGAGTGGGCTTATAGGATAGGGAACTTTATAGTTATGTAAAAAGTAAGAAGACTGCATACTTGGGGCACATATTACGAGGAGAAAGATACACTTTTCAGCAACTGATACTCGAAGGGAAGATAGAGGGTAGGAGAGGTCTGGGACGTAAAAAAATGTCATGGCTGCGCAATATTCCACAGTGGGCAGGAATCCACAGCTATGAAATGCTTCGCAATGCTGCTAAAAACAGAATTATTTAAATCCTGACTATTTAACATCTCACCTGACAAGACGATGTACGGTGGACGCCTACGCAGAAATACACGGCACCTTAAGAAGAAGATAATTACAACACCCAAGTTGTAATTATTCGTGTTATTGTCTGTATATATATCTTTAAATAAAGGTCGTATAATCTTGAAATTTGGTATAAAGGTTCCTTTTGTTGTCAGGAAGACCTCTTTTCAATTTCGGATCAATAGATATTCTTCCTTTCATATTCTTTTGTATTTTTCTTCTATGTGAAGCAAAAGTTGCTGTAAATCTATTTTTATCCTTTACATGCCTAATTTCATGATTATTGATACATCTTTTCATACTCTCTGCTCATTGTGTAAGTATATTTTAATATCTGCAATTTGTCAAGTGACTTTTTGATGTATATTTCATGCTCATTTATCCTGACACTAAGTGATCTAGCGATTTCTCCCACATAGAAATCACAGGGTATTTTATAGATGCAGTTCTTTCATCCCTCTTGTATGTTCTTAGGTTTGGTTTTGGACAGAATAGATCTCGGTGTATTAGTTGTTTTGAATGTTACACGTATTTTCTATACTTTTTAATTTTTCCAATAAGCATATAAGCATTTTTCCATATGGTTTTGTTGTTATCTTTGAATCCCTTCTTGTGAATGTTTCTGGATTGCTTGTGATGTTTTGTTGTTTTCCTTTCTTCAATCTTGTGCAATTCCTTGTTTATAACTGACAATGGTTAATCATTTTTTGTTAAAATCTTTTTTTAGCGGGTTTTTTTTCTACTTCCTCAAATGTATTTTCATTAGAGCAGGTGTTTTGGGCTGTATCATGTTATGATTTGATAAATCTAATTCTGATACTAAAACCAACCAGGAGTTCATATACAAAGTATTTTTTATTGAAAATAGTAAAACACACTCTTTTAGATAATTTATTCAGCAAAAATTGATAAGTACAATATGTTTTTCTGACTAGCGACATATTTTGCCTTTCAATACTGTTTCTTATATGGATATAACGGTAAACTATTGTTAAATATATTCGATAGTCAACGAACGATACTCGATATACTAGATCTTCCCGTATTAGCGCTGTCCTCGTCAGACTGATCGGGTGATATACGGATGGCCTGATACCACTGATTTGTCAAGTCGGTCATCTGGCTCTTGCAATCTTTTAATTCCTAGAAAAATAAAAAATGATTAGTATTAATCATGTAATACATACAGATTTGAAAAAGATACATATAAATAAGAGATCACGAAAGGAACCGACACTAAACTTGGTTGGGTTTTACATAAGATATGTTAGAAGCTTCCATTTATTCCCTGGAATATAAATGATGAACTACTCCGGACGTCAAAATACACATTTTCAGAAGAGATACAGAAAAACTTTTCTTGTGTAGATTTCCTCTTTGTTTGTCGAAGGTTGTTAATCATTACGGCAAATTGGTCTTTGTCTTGTGTAGTTTTTAGCAGATAGTGATAGGAGAGCAAGTGTTACAACAGTTAAGTGTATGGAGTTTATAGGGGAACAGTAACAGCAATGTATAAAAATAAAGAAAGGTAAAGCAGTTGGATCGATATCGTTGGAGAAGTATGGACAACTTTGGGAGAGACAGGAACAAGTAATAGGTGTGTTTCATAGAATGCAATTTTTATTATTAGATAGCTGATGAAAAAACAAGAGACAAACAAAGATACCACGGAATTAATCTTGAGAAGAGTTTCTCGAGTGGTTCTTTGGTAGGCGCTCAGTAGGAAAGGAATTTGCGGTGAGTATATGAAGATTGTGAGAAATATGTACGACGGAGTAGCAACTAGTATTAGTGCCGGTGTAGGAGAGACTGATATGTTGCGTGTGAGTATGAAAACTAGCCAATTTCCTCGTGTTTAAAGTATGCTGCTGATTTAGTATTATTTTATAGTAGGAAATTTCGAACCGCATTTAGAGCGTATAGCGGAACAGGCCATGTCTGTGAAAGCGATGGATTTTACTGCGAACCAAGAAAAAACATGGAGACATGTGATGGGAACATTTTCGACACCATACATTAAATCTGGAAAGTTTCTCGAAACAATATCGAGTGTGTATGTTCAGTAATTGCCTTGTTACTGAGTAGAGTTGGCTTCATTGTTTTTACAAAGATAATAATAATAGTCTCCCGTTTTATACCGCACGCGGCTTTGGGAGTATAGCAGGGTAGTCTGCTATATCTAGGGCCTACGGTATACAAGGAAGGTAACATGGCCAGTGCTACGCTTCAACCGCCTATTATTACCCCTGGTTTTACCCAAGGTACTCATTTTATTCAGGCTGAGTCGACCTGGGGCCTATAGACATTTTTAAAAATGCCTAGTTGTTCTTGCCGGCGGTAGGATTCGAACTCACGACCACCGGCATGCGAGGCAAGCACACTACCGCTTGCGCTACGCAGGCTTTGTTTTTACAAAGAAATCGCCTATTATATCCGAACCACTGCAGTATCTTGGATAGTATATCCATGAAAAGATGAAGTGAAGAGGGAACATTCCATGATAAAGTGTTCTTTTCTTCTTGCAAGACTTCAATACTTTTAGCTATCATAACTGTGTCTGTGTGCCTCAAAATATTATTTCGATACTGCCATTATCGTATTCACATTCGTATTCATAATATTATAATCCGGTCAATTTAGACATAAAAATGGTGATCAAAAATTCTCGGAAAGCCAAATGTTGGTGGAGAGCTGGGGTTTACCATTACAAATGAAGTTTTAGAAATCTCCAACGATCATAATGTGCCCTACAAAAAGTATTCGGGGCCAAAGGTCAAAATTTGAGGTTTTTTGGATATTTCTCGAAAATGTTAAGTTTTATCAAAAAAAAAACCTCAAACCAAAGTTGTAGATCTTAAAATTCTCTACAAAATACTCGGTATATTTTTTTATAGGGCCCGCGTAGCGCAAGCGGTAGTGTGCTTGCCTCGCATGCCGGTGGTCGTGAGTTCGAATCCTACCGCCGGCAAGAACAACTAGGCATTTTTAAAAATGTCTATAGGCCCCAGGTCGACTCAGCCTGAATAAAATGAGTACCTTGGGTAAAACCAGGGGTAATAATAGGCGGTTGAAGCGTAGCACTGGCCATGTTACCTTCCTTGTATACCGTAGGCCCTAGATATAGCAGACTACCCTGCTATACTCCCAAAGCCGCGTGCGGTATAAAACGGGAGACTATTATTATTATATTTTTTTCCTAAGAGTTACCATTCCTGAGATATCGCGATTCTAAGAGTAACATTATACATGATATGCACATATTATAAGCCAAGTATATACGCCATTAGGCACTTAAGACAAGTATAATTACCTATTTGTGTGTCTTTTATATAATATATAAAATATTATTATATTATACTATTCTGTAAACATTTATTCAAAATATAGTCAGTCCCTAACTGAATTATTTGTGCTATTTTATAGCTCTAAAAAAGTCTTCTATATATCTATAGAACAAAATCTATTCATGTGTTGAATATAGGCCTCTCCCATTTGTCTCCATTTGTCTCTGTCTTCTGTTTGTCTTTTCCATATTGGACCTGCGATTTGCTCAATGTCATCTTTCCATCTCATTTGCGGTCGACCTCTTGACCTTTTTGCAGTATATGGTCTCCAGCCGCCAATTTCTTTATTCCATCTTCCATCCTGATATCTTTCATTATGCCCAGCCCATTTCCATTTTAATTTCAATGCATGTTCGACAGCGTCTGTTGTTTTGGTTTTGCATCTTATCCACTCGTTCCTCTTTTTATCTCTCAACGATATTCCCAACATTTGTCTTTCCATAGCTCTTTGAGTTTTCTTTATTCTATCCAAGTTGCTCTTGGTACACGTCCACGTCTGGGCACCATATGTCAGAACAGGTAGGGCGCATGCATTAAATACCTTCGTCCTTAATTTTAAAGGTATTTTTTTGATTTTTGATAGTATATGAGAGTTTTTCGAATGCACCCCATTCTTATTCTTCTGGTTATTTCTTTAGTCTGGTTACTTTTGTCTGTTCTGATAGCAAGTAAATATATTCTTGGACGTGTTCTATGTTTGTTCCACCTATGGTAATTACTTATCTGTCTTCTGTATTAGTCATTATTTTAGTTTTCTTTAGATTCATTTTTAGTCCTTTCTCAAGAGATGTTTTTTCTAGGTCTGAAATCATTATTCGTAGTTGTTCCGTAGTTGTTGCTATCAGGAGTACTTCATCGGCGAATCTTAGATGATTGAAATATTTCCCGTTTATACAAATCCCTTTATTGTCCCAGTCTATAGATTTAAAAATGTCTTCCAACGCCAGAGTAAATAGTTTGGGTGAGATTGTATCCCCTTGTCTGACACCTATACAAATTCTAATTAATGGAGTTTGCAAATCTCTGTCTAGTTGAATTCTCATAGTGGCGTTTTGATATATATTGTGGATTAACATTCTGTACCGTGAATCTATTCGGCAATTAACTAGTGCTTCTTCCACTGCCCATAGTTCAATGCTGTCAAACGCTTTTTCATAGTCAACAAACGCTAGGTATATTGGAAGGTTGTATTCGTTGGTCTTTTCTATCAATATTTTAAGAGTGTGAAGGTGGTCGGATGTGCTGTACCCCTTTCTAAATCCTGCCTGCTAAACTGGTATGCATCAAATTTGTTGTTTAGTCTAGTTGTGATCACCTTAGTGAAAGTTTTATAGATTTGTGACAAGAGAGATATTGGTCTATAGTTAGCTAATTTTGATCTATTTCCTTTCTTATATATCAGAATTGGTTTTGCCTTGTTCCACTCTTGCGGTATTTGTCCTTCAAACAAACATTTATTGAAAAATATCTTTAGGTAGTCGTTTATTTTTTCCCCTCCTTCTTTTAACATTTCACTTAGAATTTCATCGTCTCCCGGAGCCTTATTTCTTTTCATATCTCTAATTGTTTTTTTCTATTTCTTCTCCGGTTATGGGGGGTAATATTTCAGAGTTTACATTCATTATTTTCTTTTTCAGGTTTCGTTGAGTTGTATCAGGTGAACTGTTTTTAGAGCTGTAGAGGTCACTATAATATTCCCTTGTTATGTGTTATCTTAGATATTTGGGTTCTGGTTTTTTCTATTACACCTTGTTTATTTTCCATCTCTATAATTTTATTTCTTCCTAGGTGGGACTTGATAGATCTTAAGTTTCTGATTTCTTCTATAATCTTCTCGATTCGTTGTTCTTGATGCCGTTTGAGATCTTGTTTTATATGTCTTCTTATTTCTGTCTTAAGGGTTTTGTATTCAGTTGTATTTCTTTTATTTTTTTGTAGTAGGCTTCTCCGTTGTTGTAGCATTTCTAAAGATATGGCACTTAGTTTTGATTTTTTGTCTGATTTTGCTGGTGCTACCTATAAGCTAGTCTTTAGAAGTTCTTAGTTTTGCTTTATTTGCAATAAACTTTTAAGTGAAGATAAAACAGTTGTGGTTGATTGTGGAATGCCAAATTTAATCGAGGCTACTGTCGCAAGAGGTGATGAGTTTACTGAGTATTTAAGAATTCAAAAATCCGTTATAAGAAATGTGGATTGTAGAAAATAATACACCCGGAAAGCTTCAATCGCTGCAGTGAAAAGACAACGTGAGGAGGAACAGGCTAGTACTTCAAAATAAGTCCACTTCGTACTAGAACGTGAGTAAGTGAATCAAATTTTTCTTTAAAAAAATATTGTTTACTTTGTGGCAATGAAGCCAATGAAGAAACTGAGAAAAAGAAAAGCATCTTCGAAAAAACAATTGAAATTTGTAACGAAAGAATCCCTTTTGAAATTGTCTAAAGATCGTTCTAATGATGTTTAAAAGGCTGTTCTTAAACGTATTAATTTTGAGTATGATTTAGTCGCTGCTGATGCAAAATACCATGACAGTTGTTACAAATCTTTCTTAACACCTAATACTGGTGGTCAAATTTGCCGTCCACAAGATGAAACTGTAAACTCTGCGATGGAGAAACTCTGCGATATTTACAGAAATTGATTCCACACCTTAAACAATAATTACGGAAGAAATTCGCTTTCTTCTTGCGGTTTATGGAGCTCCAAAAAAATTGCACTGATAAATACCGATACCTAACTTTTGTAAAAAATACGCGAAACAAGAACAACTATCATGTCTTCCTCCAACATCGGCATCTG